CCAGCCTCTACCCTCCCCTCCTCACCCGCTCCCTCCAAACCCAGCTCACCCCCGAAGCCGAACTCGACCGCCAAACCCTGCACCCGGAAAGAGCCGAAAACACCCAGTCCGGCACCGACGACGCCGTCGCGCGTCATACATCGTCCTACGACCCCTCAACCACCACCCCGGAGCTGGAATCACAGGCTCTCGAGGCAGAATGCAAGCTCCTCGGCGAGGTAGATCCGCTCTTCTTCAGCGCTGCGCACCGCGAGGTGAGCGCGCTGCTGGATCCGAAGCTTGAGGTGGCGGTGCATACGATTGAGCATTTGAGTCCGAGTGCGAAGGGGTGGACGAGGAAGCATAAGGAGGTGAGGATCAGGAAGATTGCTGGGCATGGGAGTTTGGATCAGTTTGAGCGGTTGTTGAAGGGGTTGAGGGATATTCAGAAGAGAGGCGGGGGTGGGGGGTCGACGGTTGAGAGTTGATTGTTGAGCAGGAGAGAAGGTATGTACGACAGGGTTGAATATGCATTATCTCCAGGTGACGTGGTCAGGTCCTTGCCAGTGATTGTGTTTGATTGTGATGATATGCGACAGCAGGAGTTTGGATTGCAAAAGGTGGTCGAAATGGATACCAACTTTATCATTATGTATGTGGTATGCATATAGTCTTATCTATCATGCTGATCATTGCTTGGACTAGTGTGCAAGTTCCTGGTACAGTTAGTAAAGCACAGCAGCGCGCAGAGTGAACCACTTACACTTGCGAATTTGCTCTTGGCCCGAATCTTTGGACCAAACAGCAGAAGGACCCAGGGGACGATACACAGCAACGCTCCCTGTCAAGATCAGCATCGGCGTCTTCTTCACGGACGCACAAAACTCACTATTCCACCGAGTAGACTGGAGGCACCTGGATATCCCAGGTTCGTAAACATGGCGTTGGTTACCAACGGAAAGACACCACCGAGGAGATTCCGACCTGGCCATCGAGTCAGTAGTCACGAGCAACAGAATATGAAAGAGAACCTACAGCAAGATTGCGCCGCAATCGCCGAACTAGCATACCGATGATAGGTGTCTGCCAAATAATTAAAGGTTGCTAGGTAGACTGAGAAGATGCCCATGGTTGCGCATCCGACTGCCATCGTTGGGACAATCCACGGAATGGAGGGGTAGGACGTCCATCCGAACCAGAACAAACCGATTGGCATGAGCAGGGACTGGATGCAGACGAAGTAGAGCCGTCGCTCGGCGGATTTGGGGAGAGTGACGAAGTGCCGCGCGATGCTTTCTTGGTAGATGCTTATGATGGTTATGATGATGACACCGACACACATGGCTGAAGTTGTCAGCGAGGGTTTTATCTGTTTATCTGGGATGGTGGGTGGCATACAAGTAAAGACGGCGCCGCTTTGCTCAACGTTGAAGCCGTGGTTGGTCTTGAAGACCAGCGGCACGGATCCAAACTGGAGGTATAGAACTGCCCAGCTGAAGGACACCCAGAGAGAGAAGAAGAACACGGTTGGCTCCGAAAAAAGCAAGTCTTTCCCGGGTTAGGATGGTGTTTGACGGACAGTCAGACTGGATGGCAACTCACGGAATGGTCTATAGCACGAGATACTGATCATCTGAGCCAAAGATGCCCTCTCCTCATCACTCTTCACCTTCCACCGGATGCGCTTGACCGTCTCCTTACCCGACATGATGACTCCGTAATGACCAGCGCTCTCGAGTTTGTCATAGTAGGTATTGAGTGCGTTTGCCTTCCGACTCAGAAGCACACTGCCTCGGGTTTCTTTAAAGAAGAAAAATATGATAACAACAAAGATGGCCGAGACGATGGCATGGGAGTACCAAACCCATCGCCATGTGGTGTGCTGCACAACGGCGCCAGCAAGCAACGGGGCCAGTCCAGTACCGAAGAGGGCAGCACCGGAGAACAGTGCCATGGGGGTATTCCGGTCTTCCGCGTGGTAAATGTCGCTGATCACACCTCCCACCATGGTCGAGAATGTAGCTGTGGCTGTCAGTAAGCTGCGACAACAGGAGGGATCTGATGCGAGGATTGACATACATCCACCTGCACCCTGGAAGAATCGCGCAACAAGCATTCCTCCAAAGGAGTGAGTGCCTCCACAGGCAATGATGCATGCTTTGAACGCAGATAATTAGCATCAGCGAATTCTCGTTCGTCAGGCATGAGAAACACCATACCGACAAATACGATTCCACTAGCAATGAAGATTGGCCTCCTCCCATTGATTTCTGAAAACGGAGCCAGCACCATCGGCGCCAGCGCAAATCCAATGCAGAACAAAGTGATGCCCAGGTTATAGACAACCTGGCTAATCCCCCATTCCTTGGTCAATTCAGCGGACGACGGACTGATTTCACCCGCCGAGTAACCCGCCAATGCTGTAACTGCACAGGAGATCCATGTCATCATGGACTTGCGCCACTTGGGCCATAAGAACGGACTGGAATAATTCTTGAGATCCGGACATTCTGGAGCGGGCGACTGGCCTGGTCCCGGAGGTGATGTGATGAATGGTGTCGGTAGAGGAGTGTCCAGCTCCAGGTACAAATACTCCACCTGATTGCGAGGATCCTTTTCGGACTCGCCGTCCATGGTTGTATGATCAAGGACGGCGCAGATATTAATCACTTATTGGAGTTCACACTGTTGAGATATTGCCGGGTTTCCTGCACCAGACACATCTAGAAGTTGACAATTGGGAAATATATCCCAGTGATATAACCCCAAATGACGCACTGATTATTCTAACGTCTTATGAGTCGTGAAAATTTGCAGCCTAACAAATCCCGAAAACTCGATCCGTCTACCATTAGGTAGTTGGAGAAATTGGAGATTTTCCAGATTTGACTAAGCTAATTGGGTGTTTTACGTATCTTCCTTGCACAGTCCAGATACTAAGGTACCTATAATCTTGTCCATTATTAATCAGATTTTCTCCACTTTATCTCCAATTCTGAGTCCTCATCACACATACTGGAGATGAAGCATGTATGACTAGAAGTACAGAGGTAGACAAGGACAGGACAATTCGAAATTATGAACAAGCATACGAACCAAGATGTGATCATTTCAAATATTACTATCACTATTGCTATTTCGTGCTTTCTTTCCTATCCTAGGACTGGATTCCTGTCAACTGGCAGTATCATGTAAGGATCTCTTAACCGATATCCGGACCGGTTCCGCAACCGGCCCCGCACCTTCATGTCTCTTGGCATTGCTGACGTCTTGCCCGGTTGTTAAGTTGTTGCTCGAGACTCCCCTGGTTGGACAGTGACACAGTCACAAGGGTATTCAGGGACATAAGAACAAGGACCATCTCATCGCAATGGAAAATGGTCAAAGCTACTCGGACTTTCCAATGCCAGCGATGTTCCCGGACATTTGCTCGGCTGGAGCATCTCCAGCGCCACGATCGGTCGCGTAAGTCTCTTCCCCATTTCTCTTCTCCAAATCCACTGACCGCTCCTGTAGACACCAAGGAGAAGCCATATGTCTGCGACAAGTGTCCCAAATCATTCACTCGCAAGTAAGTATCTCAGTGAACAACCAGAGGGTCGAAAGAAGAGAATGTACTAAGAGCTTAGGGATCTCTTAACACGCCATGAGCGATTATCCCACAGTTCACCATCTGTTAGCCGCGACACCGACAATGGAGACCATCCAACACCCCCACCATCATCCACCGACCATGTGTTGGATGGGCTGAATATCCTTGCATCCGCTGTGGCGGATCATACCGTGTCCACTCCTACTCATGGGCCTCCTCGCGGGCCGCATCAGCATCCACTCTCGGCCAGCCAAGGTTCATTCTCTTCCGGTCTGCCGGCAGCCGCGGATCAGACGCCTCTCGCCAGCCACCCTTTACAATCAGCGCATTCCCCCGGCGCAGCCGAAGCGACTGTCTTTGGTGAATCTTTCTCCGGATACACTACATCCAACGCTTATGACGGCGACGACTTTACGTCTTTCCTTGACAGCATTCCTCTTCCCAGCCACCCCTACTCGCCGACGTATCAGCCCCTGCCTGTATTTCCCGCGTGGCAATTTGATTCGACTTCCGATTACGATCATTCGGTTGACCGAACAGGCGCGCCGGAGGCAGCAGCGACACCGTCGAGCTCGGTGCTTCCCCGTCATGGGACACAGTTGCCCTCTCTTCAGCCCGAGAGCCCGCAAGCCTCCCCTAGAGCGCGACAGCCGAAAGGTGCCATCTTTGTCACAACGCAGTGTCGCGACAGAATAATTACGCTGCTCGCTGATTACGCCAATGTCCTTCCAGATGCTTTCATCCCGTCTCGACACGCTTTGTCCCGATGCCTTACAGGGTATCTGTCCGGATATCACGATCATTACCCATTCATGCATATCCCCACCTTGGATATTGAAAGTGTGAGCTTGCAGCTGTTTCTTGCGATGGCTGCATTAGGCGCTCGGTACTGTCGGGAACCAGACACGAGTTTGAGCCTGTATCGAACAGCAAGGACCATCACCATGGAACATATTCGGAGGACGTATCAGTTTCCCGGGCCCGGTCAAATTTCCGCAAAGTTTCGACTTTCGGATACTGCAACTCCCGAGAGCCAAGATCTACTCGAAACCATGCAGGCGTTATTACTGCTCCATTCGGTCTCATCATGGTTCAAGTGCGATCCGCCCCATCACGAATCCCTCTTCATGCGGAGTTTTATGGAGACAATGCTCCGAAGGGGAGGGCTGAACGAGCTCCCTGAGCAGGATGGCTCATGGGAAAGCTGGATACGACGGGAGTGTGTGAAAAGGACCTCCCTCATTGTTTACTGTTATCTCAATATCCTCACCATCGTCTTCGACATCACACCACTCATCCTCACCGAGGAAATCTGTATGGATCTCCCATGCAGCGAAAAGGAATGGCACGCCACAAGTGCCGTTGCTTGGATGCAAGAACGCAGCCAAACACAGCCGGAACCAAAACTGCAAGACGCCCTCTCGTCTCTCTTTACTCATCCTACAACAGCAAAGGCAAACCTAGAGAGCTTCTCCTCCTTGGGTGGCTACGTGCTGATCCACGCCATTCTACAGGATATCTGGCTCCTCCAAAAGGCTCGTCGCCTGCCCCTGTCGAGAAACAGCTCACTATCTACAGCAGAAACGTTATCCCTTGAACAAGCGCTAGAACAATGGTGCCAATGCTGGGAGCGCAACCAGGAATCCTCCATCGATCCGTTTAACCCTCATGGGCCTCTCTCTTTCACCTCCACCGCCCTCCTTCGTCTCGCCTACATCCGCCTCAATGCGGACTTTACCTCGGCACGGCGTCTGCAAACCTGGGACCCGAGCCAGATTGCGCAATCCCTGCGCCAGAACCTGTCCGTGCAGCGCGGCGACCGGCTGACACGGGCCGCGTTGCACTGCGCTCATGCGCTGAGCACGCCCATCAAGCTTGGGATCAACTACGTAGCGCACACGCAGGTTGCCTCCTGGTCGAACCAGTACGCACTGTGTTCGTTGGAATGCGCGGTGCTACTGGCGAAATGGCTGGAGAAGGCGACAGTGCCCAATCCTGATCCTGCCTTGACGGAGCAGGAAACCAAGCTCTTAGAGTTTGTGATCGAGATGGTTATGGAGACACAGCATGGAGCCAATCGGGAATGGCTGCTGGAGAATAATACCCGGCTGAGTGCAATTGTCACTCGTCTTTGGGCCAGATTATTTACGACGGATCATATCTGGGAGTTGGTTAATCTGATAGGGCAGTCATTGAGTCGGTATGCGGATATTTTAGAAGGGGTTTTGCGATGAACTTCAGTCAGCGTCGTCCTCTCTGCCGTGATAAACCACTTTTTCCCACCAAAATACTATTTTGTACAAGTCATTGGCCACAAGACACCAGCGGAGTTATACTGCCATCTAGCCGAGCTTCAAAGCCAAAAAACCCTAGGAATATTCATACAACCGAGGGTCAAGAGAAGGCACCAATAAGAGCAATTGGATATTATAATTCAATTGCACACTGGAATGTGTTCTGCTATGTTTGGACGTACTGCCAAGACGTTATCGTGATGGCGTGATTTGATGCTATCATGGCTAATGATTGAAAACTTTGAGTATTTATTCCCTCTGCCAGGCATGACTTTGCAGGGATATTCTCATTTATCACTGATCCTGGATTCTTCCTCTCTCCTTGAGGAACACAGAAGATACATGACAATGGCCGCTGCAACGGCAGTCGACTCTCCCCAAAGTCCAAGTCCGCGGGATGACAAAGCTTCAGCTATCAAAACGATACAAGACAAGCTCCCCACGCAAGGCGATGCAGCTTTACAACTTCTTGCAGGAAGAGGCACTGAGAATGGAGCCCTAGATCCCAACGCCTCGCGCCGCCTCGTCCGCAAGATCGATCTGTATGTGATGCCGTTAATCTGCATCGTCTACTTCTGCCAATACCTTGATAAAATTGCCATAAGCTACGCCAGCGTGACGGGAATCAAAGAGTCGGCACACCTCCATGGCAACCAATTCAACTGGATCTCCAGCATCTTCTTCTTCGGCCAGCTCACCTTCCAGTTCCCCACGATGCGCCTCATCCAGGCGTTCCCGCTGGCCCGGTACGTCGCGACCAACGTCACAATCTGGGGCATCATTCTCGCCTGCATGGCAGCCTGCAAGTCCTTTGCGTCGCTGATGGTCTGTCGCACACTCCTGGGCTGCGCGGAGGCCGCGATCGTCCCCGCATGGGTGGTCTTCACGTCGCAGTGGTACTGCAAGGAGGAACAGGCGTTCCGGGTGGGACTGTGGTTCTCCATGTGCGGCTGGGCGCAGATGTTCGGCGGGTACGTTGCGTACGGGGTCGCGATTCATGTCGGCAGCGATCCGCGCGCGGTGCTGCGAGGATGGCAGGTGATTTTTCTCATTCTGGGAGTCTTTACTACATTGGTGGGTGTGCTATTCTTCTTCATATTGCCGGATTCGCCCGTCACGGCGGGGTTCCTGTCAGCCGAGGAGAAGGCGCTGCATGCGGAGCGTCTTCGCGGCAATGAGCAGGGTATTGGGAGCTCGGTGTTCAAGCGGGAGCAGTTCTACGAGGCGCTTCGAGATCCCAAGACATGGCTGTATTCGTTCTGGGTCTTTGCGGCGAATATCCCCAACTCGATCGCTACCAGCTTCGGCAACATTCTCGTCACGGGGATGGGGTACTCGGCGACGCAGAGCCTGCTGCTCGTGACTCCGTTGGGGGCGTATGAGGTGGTCATTCTGGTTGGATTGACGTACCTCGCTATGCGGACGAACCAGCGCCTGCTGTGGTGTATCATTGGGCATATCCCGAGCATCGTGGGTGCGATCCTCATGGCTACGACGAATAAAGCTCCCGCCTTGGTCGGGTATTATCTGTCTGGCGGCATCCCCATCGGATGGACGACGATCCTGGGGCTGACGAGTACCAATGTCGCCGGATCGACTAAGAAGATCACTGTCTCGTGTATCCAGACCATCGCGTATACAGTGGGCAACATCATATCGCCGCAGACGTTTCAGCACAAGGACGCGCCGAGGTATCTTCCGGCGAAAATCTCGATTGTGATTCTGTATGTTCTCATCACCTTGGACTTGTGTTTGATCCGGTGGTTGGCGATCCGGGAGAATAGGAAACGAGATGCGGAAAGACAGGCGCTGGGGGGTGCGTACGTGGTGGAAAAGGACCACGAGTTTCTGGATCAGACCGATTTTGAGAATCGCGAGTTTAGATATGCTATTTAGATATGCTATTTAGATGATATATGGTCGTATGATACTGTATTGAGATAATGGAAGAACTGATAATAGACTGCATGAGCTAGAATAGGTAGTAGACATATCAGCCTGGGGTCACAATCCCATTACACAGACCTATCTATCACCACCTGCAAACATTAAACCAGTCAAACACCTCACTTGCTGATGCCGATTGGGATTCTCCTGTGGAGTGAATCATACTGAGGATACCCTTCTCTGAGTTACGACATTGATGATCCCCCACAATACTGCATATTCAGGCTAATCTGACCTCTGCAGAATGCTACTTGTGCGCAAAGGCGATTAGCTTTACAACATCTTGCAGGAAGAGGCAATGAGAATGGAGCCCTAGATCCCAAAGCCTCACAAGGCCTCATCCGTAAGTTGAGTAACGTGTGGGTTGGCTTCCACTCTAAGATCAAGATCTTCAGGGCGTCGTATCCAGTCTCCTTCTGGCTGAAATACCATTTCTTGATGCGCCGAAGTATGTCACGGAAAGGCTTCTCATAAAGAGTGTCTGCCCTAAAACATCTCTATTTCTCAACTGCTTGGTACATCTTCTGGGCAGGAAGGCTCCACGGGTATGTTATGAAGTCTACATCAGGAAAGATGATCTGTTTCTTAGACGGTTGAATGAAACCGTCCCTGCCCCATAATGATCCGGTAAGTTGAGAAACATGGTCGGGCCAGGTGTCGTTGTCGAAGAAGGCGTTGGTGTGTCCCTGACATTTCCACAAAATGCTCTTTTGCGGCTTTCAAACGGTCTAGCTCGTCTTTCCAGTTTGGGAGCAGATGGCAGTCGGTGATCGGCATTGTTTGGCCGGATGAGTCGCATATTTCAAACCAAGGACTGATTGCTTTGAACTTTATATATGCCGGTGTACTTGCAAGACGCGTTGGTCATAGCCTCAGATGCGGTCCATAACCGGGCGAAAATGGCAATGTTCGATATCATGTTTGAACAAACCCGGCGAACGAAGACATCTGGTTCCTCAGCATGGTCGCGGAAGGTCGGTATGAGAATGTTTGAAATATCAGACTGTCCGATCCACGCAGCAACCTCGGTCCGATGGGTCGTTTCCGGAGCTTGCGGGTTCGATTCGTTAACAGGGACCTCGGTGGCGGTGTTGGTGGTAGTAGCATTTTCGGTGCCCATATTGGCATCGGCATTGGCTTCAGTGGTCTCCTCAGTTATTTCATTCTGGTGTGGCTGATCCGTTTGTTGGTCTGCTTTGCCGAAGGCTCGGAGTTCCTCGTATGACTGGACTTCCCAGGTATCTGTCACACCTTTGCGCTGCAGTTGATGGAATGCCCATTCCCTAGTTACTCCCCTGGCTTTGAGGTATGCAAACGCCCACCAGGCTATGGCGGCGGGGTCCATGTCGGCGATTGGTTGTCCTGGGAAAGCTGCTTCCTGTCAGAGGGATATCCTTTTGGTGTCCTTCTCTTCCCTCCTCTCTTCGCGATGGGTCCCCACAGCTCGTCTCCAGGGTTGTTCCTTCATCATCTCGTAGGTTGGGAACCACCAATCGCGAGTGACTGGTCGCGCTTTGAGTTGGTTGAACACCCGTTTCTCAATCTCTCTGGGGGCCCTAAGGTCGCGAGACTCGACGAAGCATTCTGTATTTTCCAACTTAACCAACCCCCTTGTGTGGAGTTGTGAAGGGCGATTGGGTTCCATCCCCCCGATTTGGCGAAGGGAAGGGTACGGCTCATCTTCCTTGTCGCCATCATTGTTTCTCTCCTGTCTGGCACGTTCAGTCTCAACATGTATCTTCTCTTCTTCTGTATTGATCTCCCTGATAACAGCTATGATAGCGGTTTTGATACCATGGAGACGTTCAGTAACTGATTTTTTTTGGTAACCTTGTTGTCAGAAGGTGTCTTATGTTTCACTGGGGTTTGGCCCAGGGTAGTCACGGTTCCCATATCAAAGGCATCAATTTCTCCACTTTCGTCCTTCGCTAAGTAGGCGTGCATATTTTGGTTGATTCGACTTTGGCAACGGCAGGGGTATGTCAGACCATTCTAGGGTCTCTGTAGGGAAATCCATGGGCAGTGAGGGCAGTGCTGGTTATGCAAATATGTGAGATAGTTTGATGTTCATAAATAGAAAGATGTTGGTTAACTGATCCTAAGCAGCGATGCAGTGTTTCTTTGATAGAGGAGTCATCCACTGGTTCATGCTTTTTTGCCTTACGCTCTTTTTTGACTTCTGTCTTTGCTTCCTGCTTGGTCTCTGACTTGGCGTCATGGTGTTGTTGGTATGCTCAATTTTGGCTCTTTCAGCTTGTAAACAGCCCATTTCACAGTCTGGTGTCGTTTCAATATGATCATAGAGTATTCGATGAGATGGAGAGATGATGCAGCAAGATAGAGAGAAAGTGTCAAGCATATACCCGACTAAAAATGCGTCTAGATATCCATTCCTAGGTGAGCTGGTAGTGAATATAATATAGTAGTGCTATAGTGAATGTGATATGGTTCTGTAGTGAATATTTGGTATTTATCAAGGTAGTACTAGCTTATGGACATAAGGTATTATCATTCTATATTGACTCTTAAACTTAGTGATTACCTCTCTCCCTCCCTCCCCTCCTTATTCTACGGCTACCAGATAGAGATTATGGATCATCATGGTATCTAGCCTGAGATTCTTCACACACATCATGCTCATTCATCCTAATTATGCTTCCCTTCTGCTTATTCAATACATAGTCAGTAGTCTTCAGCTACCATGGTTAACGTGAAAACCTCTTCACTAGGGTCAGCAGTTCAGTATAACCAGAAATGGTACGCGGGATTCTGGGTTCCCTAGCTGGACTGGACTGCTGCAATTCTCGAGGGTGTCACTCAGGCGTTACCGGGTCTGATCAACGCATTCGATAACATTGAACAATCATACCGCTCGCACCATGGCATAACTGGCGACAAGAAGACACGCAAGGTACGTTGACGGATCACTCTCGGTATGTTTTGAGGCTTCTTTACTGACTGCTACTTCGACCCCAAAGCAAGAACTGACCTCGACCGCTGCCGGATGGCACAGAATATGCTTAGCCACCATTTGAATGCGCCACGAACAAGATGGATCGATTTCCAGCAAGACATGAGGAAACGGCGCATTGCAAGAAATTGGGAGCTACGGGTCATTAAGTACCTCCACGAGCATCATCCTGACACGATCGTTGACCATCTCGATGCAAGAGATATCCAAGAGCTCGAGCGCCTAGTTGACGGGGCTAACCAACTCGACGAAGACGGCAAGATAGACGCGTGGGATATGGGACTCATGACAAAACTAGACCTCATCCCAGTCCAACACAAGACTAACAAGAAACTGTGACATTTAGTAGACCAGTCAATGCTATCAGTGTTTGACGAGCTATTACTTTCAATGACACCAAATTCCCGAGGTGCCTGACAGGAACAAGTGAGTCCGTTTATGACTCATGATCAAGACAAGCTAATCATATAATTTGGCAGCAGCAATAGCTTTCTTTCAAGGGCCATACGACGGTTGCCAAAAGGAGCCCGATCTTATGGTTCGCCCAGGTGGGACCGGACAGAAACCAAGCTTTGCGTCAGAATCCATCCGATCACTTCCACCTCACCCCAGCAAACCAGCTGGCTCACGAATCCCTCACTTCACAGACTACATAAGCCTCACCTTACCATCCACCCTTCTTCTTATCTTTCGCCTTGACCCGCTCTTGCTTCTGCAGTAGTATTCGCTATCCTATATTAAACACCTTAATATCCCAGTTAATCAATCATCTTTCAGTCCAAATCACTATACTACCCCGGGGGTCAAATAACATGGACTCCGAGGCCCCATAAAGAGTCAAACTTGAACCGGATGATGAGGCCATGAACCGACCGAGCACCAGTGAAGCCTTAGAGCTGGGAGTGATACCCCTCTGGTCAGACGACGTGGACCAAGAAGTACGAGACTGATACGCGGGTTGTGTCGCCGTCAGCACCTACAAGGCAGATAACCCCGAACCAGCACTATGTCGGATGGTATACCTCAGGTTTGACATGAGGGGGAGAGTCTGTATGCACATGGCGAACATCGGTGTAGATAGAAGTCAGTTTCCAATACAAGGCAGCACCGAGCGAAAGAAAGCACGGGGATCAGTTTCATCGACCCAAACCCATCTATTCAAAGATATCCCAGACATATCCGAAGACTCAGTAGCCCAATGGGCGTTCGATCAACTACAGAGCAAGGGGGTTACAGACACTTGGGGGGTCCAGTCATACGATGAACTCCGAGCCTATGGCAAGACAGACCCGGGAGCCGACCAGCAGACGGATCGGCAGTACCAGAACGAAGCGACTGAGGAGACCACCGAAGCTGATGCTTGGGGATCAAACATACCGAAGCGTATCAAAGGTCTCAACTGTGCGATTCCAATCCGCCAAGGCATCAGATCCCTTGCTCCAAAGATCTGCGATAATTGCAAAACTACGAAAGGTCGATGGATGTGGAAGCCAGGAACTATTTACGGTGCCGTAAGGTGGTGCTCCAGGTGCTATTGGTATTGGAAACGAAACCGAAACCCACTACCAGAACACCTAGCAAGGACGATGACTACCAGGACTTTGAGGAGGAAGAGGATGGGAACAACGGGGTAGAGAATGAGAATGAAGAGGAGACTTTCAAGGGTCTAAAAAGATGTCCTAAGTGGTCAAAGCAGGAGCCTTCTTCCCTAAACGGCAAGGAAGAGACCAATCGCGATTTGAGTGGAATCTCGGTCCTGACGCAACCTCGGAAGATGCCATTTGGAAGTTTGCATTGCACCGGTGCTTTTAGGCCCAGGATAGAGGCTTGGATGAAGTACCTTTGGAATGTGGTTAAAGCTAAGCGTGAGCAGATTCGTGCACGCCGAGGCGCAGTCGACCCCAAAGGAAGGGGTCACCCATTTTGAATAGGCTCGGGTCCCAATGGAGAAATGAAATGCCTTTGCAGTGCATCGGATGCTACTTATACTGGTTGGACCACCGTGCTCACCGGCTCGACTAGGGTCATACTTGAGAGTGGAAGCCACAACCCAACAGTGAACTCTTATGTATCAACTGCTTTAATAGTAAAGCAATGGGTGAAAATGGGCATGAACGGCGGCAGCTAAATCCAAAACGACTCGACTGTTCCAAGGAGGCTAAGCAATGTTCTCATTGCTCAAAGGCTCTACCCTCTGGAAAGAAGAAATGGATAGGGAACCTCAATGCCGCTGTTGTTACCAATCAATCAGGAGTACTGGCAAACACCCAGTTACCCTGAGTCAGGTTCAAGATATTCAGATGTATTGCGAGTACTGCTCAGTACTATATACCCCTAAATGGGCATTCGAAAGAACCCCGACCTAACAGCTATTCAGGATCCTGGAGTACGATACAACCAGTACTGGTTATGAAATGGATGAGCATGAGGTCGATAAGGCAACAAAAAACCGGAGTTTTGGCTTCAGAGATTCATCTCAGTGGGGTGAAACCTACTCAGTGTCCCACAGGGATGCCCAGAGCATTGAAGATCACACTGATTTTAACCTTGCACACGAACAAAAGGTATTTCGATCACGTCTACAAGGGCTCTTGAATGGACTGATCGAGAATGCCAAGGAAACCAGTCTTGAATCTATAAACGATTCAACTTTTACCTTCACCTTCTGGGCTTACCTTATCAACTGTGATAGATCCCAAGGATGGGACCAGATACTCAGTGTGATGGAACAAGCCACTCTTATAGAGGTGAGAATGATACTAGGAAAGACAAGAATCAGCTATGACGACTTCCTCTGCCTCCCACTTCTCACTGAAAACCACAGGCACAAGGGGGTTTACCCTGACCATATCATTATATGTAGGCTCAAGCCTAAAGGGAGTTGCAGGTCGGGTCCATGATCATGAAGGAATAATTCAGTCTGGACAGCTTCCATGTTCAAGTTCATTTCGTTATTCCTAGATCAAAGGCAAGGCAGGCCGTATCGCTCCCTTCAAAGTGCTAGTGTAGTTCGTTGAGGACAGTATCCCAAACTGGATTATATTGCTCCTTGAGAGTATCTTTATTATCATGCCCTGATCCTATACGCATGATCCTATATATCAGCCTTCGTCACAGAAATATCACTATTTGCAAGCAGCAATCACCTGAACATACCTCACTTGCTTGCCAATGCCAATTGAGATTCTCCTGCGGACTGAATCATCCCGGGTACACTTCTCCGAGCTACAATATTGACGATCCCCCGCAATACTGCATATTCAGGCTAATCTAATCCCTGCAGAATGCTACTATATGCTCATCTCCTCATTATACGCATCTGCGGGGATACGACCCATTGGCCATGTTCAACCTACATGCAAGGTTCCACGGGAATTTTACTCGAATGAGCCATCCTGCCCTCGATTTTGGCTGAAATGATGAATGATATCAACATGGGCGGATGGCAAACCGCAGGGTATTTGTCGATCCTTATGTCGATATGACCCTGAATGAGCCGAGATCATGGATATTTAAGTTTATTGATACCCCTCGTTAGCCTGGAAAACCCCCAAATCGAACAACACAATGGCTGGCAGTATGTCGTGGCAATATGGCAGTGCCATTGCCCTTTTTGTCTGTCTGGCTCCTGTGGCTCTATCTCTAGACAACTTCCCAGACTGCACCAGCGGTCCTTTGAGCAAGCTCGCTGTCTGTGATACATCTCTCGATGTGACCACTCGTGCTCGGTCATTGGTGAACGCCATGACGTTCGAGGAAAAAGTCAACAACACGCAATACAATTCTCCCGGGGTGCCGAGACTAGGTCTACCGGCATACAACTGGTGGAGCGAAGCATTACACGGCGTGGCAGGATCACCCGGCGTCGAGTTCGCCAACAGCGGGCCATTCAGCTATGCCACCTCGTTCCCTCAGCCTATTCTCCTGGGTGCCACCTTTGACGACGACTTGATCAAGCAAGTCGCCACCGTAGTGAGCACAGAGGGCCGAGCATTCGGTAACGCTGGTCGCGCCGGTCTGGACTACTGGACACCCAACATCAACCCGTTTCGCGACGCGCGTTGGGGCCGGGGCCAAGAGACGCCTGGGGAGGACCCGCTGCACGTCTCGCGATATGTCTACCAGCTCATTGATGGGCTGCAGAATGGAATTGGCCCGGCTAACCCTAAGATTGTGGCCACATGCAAGCATTTTACAGCGTATGACCTGGAGGACTGGAATGGCGTCGTGCGCCACTCCTTCAATGCCGAAGTGCCGACGCAGGATTTGTCCGAGTTCTATCTCCCTCCTTTTAAAAGCTGCACCCGTGATGCCAAGGTCGATGCTGTCATGTGCAGTTACAATGCATTGAATGGCGTACCTGCGTGTGCCGATTCCTATCTGCTGCAGACGATTCTTCGAGAGCACTGGAAATGGGATGAGCCCGGCCATTGGATCACGAGCGACTGCGGTGCCATCGACGATATCTACAACGGCCATAATTACACGAAGACCGCCGCCGAGGCTGCTGCCGCGGCGCTGAAAGCAGGCACAGATTTGGATTGTGGCACGGTGTTCCCCAATTACCTTGGACAGGCCGCAGACGAGGGTCTCTATACCAACCAGACCCTTGATACGGCACTTGTTCGACTCTACACCTCACTTGTAAAACTGGGGTACTTTGATCCCGCAGAGAATCAGCCGTATCGCTCCATCGGTTGGAAGGATGTCGACACCCCTGCCGCGGAAGAACTCGCTCACAAGGCGGCTGTCGAGGGCATCGTTCTGCTGAAGAATGACAAGACCCTTCCACTCAAGGCAAAGGGTACCCTTGCCCTGATCGGACCATATGCCAACGCAACGAAACAAATGCAGGGCAACTACGAAGGCCCGCCCAAGTATATCCGCACGCTCCTCTGGGCCGCTACCCAGCTGGGATATAATGTGAACTACGCCTCCGGCACAGCTATCAACACAGACAGCACCGCCGGGTTTGAAGCGGCACTATCAGCAGCCAAACAAGCAGATGTCGTGGTGTACGCAGGCGGTATCGACAATAGCATCGAGGCCGAAGCGCACGACCGCACCACCATCGTCTGGCCTGGGAACCAGCTAGACTTGATCGGCCAACTCTCAAAGATCGGCAAGCCCCTCGTTGTACTCCAGTTTGGAGGCGGACAAGTCGACGACTCGTCTCTACTCTCAAATCCGAACGTCAACGCTCTCCTCTGGACCGGGTATCCCAGCCAAGAAGGCGGATCCGCCGTCTTCGATATCCTTACCGGGAAGACTGCGCCTGCAGGCCGTCTGCCAGTCACCCAATACCCGGCGGACTATGTCAACCAGGTTCCAATGACAGATATGGCCCTGCGTCCAGGCTCAAACACTCCAGGACGTACTTACCGGTGGTATGATCAGGCGGTCGTGCCGTTTGGCTTTGGTCTACACTATACGACTTTCAAGATTAGCTGGCCTCGCAAGGCTCTGGGACCGTATAACACTGCAGCACTGGTGGGCCGGGCACCCAAGAATGCACCGGTCGACACGGCTCTGTTCGACACATTCCGCGTCCAAGTGACCAATACCGGGAAGGCTACGTCGGATTATGTGGCGTTGCTGTTTATGAAGACTACCGATGCTGGGCCGAAGCCCTATCCTCTTAAGACACTAGTGGGCTACACACGTGCGAGGCAGATCAAGCCTGGCGAGAAGAGATCGGTGGATATTGAAGTCACATTGGGGTCGTTGGCGCGGACGGCGGAGAATGGTGACTTGGTACTGTACCCGGGACGGTACACACTGGAGGTGGATGTGGGAGAGAACCGATACCCCACTGCTAGTTTCATGGTTAAAGGCAAAGAGGTGATTTTGGACAGCTTTCCTCAGCCTCCTGAGGGTCGGTGAGGTGATCCAGATTCCTGGATGTCCGATGATAGGGATCAATACGAGCGAATGATGTAGTGAAGTTGAATTTATATTCATCGTTAAAAGATCGTCCAAGATGTCTCAAGCTGGTATAGCCATAGGTCTCCATATGTGTATCACCCATAGTCAGGATCCACTCCCGAGCCCTTGTTGATCAGAATCATCTTGACTTATAACTGGTAGTATCCCAGACATGAGAATATGTCCTCCTTACCGCTCGGGTGAGCACCTTAACATTCATTCCTCTTTCTAGGGTAGAGAGGCGAATCGGCGTATTGCCATGTTCACCTTCAGTCCACATTCCCCTCGTCACCTTTAGGACCTTTCAGAATACAGATCTCAGCATAGACTGTACATGGCCTAATAGGGACCGTGGTGCCGTATAGTGAAGTCGGCACCGTCACGACGGTTATCGGAGTCATATGAGGCTTCTCCAGCAGCAACAATGAAGCAAGTTTCGAGAGAATGTAGAGCTTTAACCTGTGAATATCCACCACGGAAGCAGGAAGTGTACGCAAAGCAAATGCTAAGCATTCGGTCGTAAATGAGGCTACATCGCGTTTAAATCTCCGACGACAGAATCGAAATGAGTATCAGCGACCCGATATTCTGATATGAAGGATCAAATTCATTATCCGGCGTGAAGTGAACCCTTCGTTCGGCCTTCCATCTCCTGCTGAAGCGTCGGAATCGGGTGTAGAACGAGTTTCCGTGCTCCTCTTGAGCTGGAAGGTCGTCTTTGTTGTTTTCAATAGGATGTGATTCGCTCCGTTTGTTCGAGTAACGGCGGATGATGATGGGATTCATTGCGAGGATGCCAGGCCTTGGTATTCAGACGATAAACAAACCAACTTTGTCTATAACCCTTGCTTTACTTGAGCGAGTAGACCTATTGGTAAAGAGTAGGAATTTGGGCCATTCGGTTGCAGACTGTCCTAGGCTTCAGATGGACAGATTTATTTTGATAGTTGAGGATGGGCGTACAGTCCTCTGCAGCTGCTTCGAGTTACATTTAAGACTGCCTGGAGTCTGGAATGTCTGAATCTTCCCACACATCTGAACCAAAGATCGCATACATTTATCAATTCCAAGTTCGATACCATTGACGACGCAGGAGGGAAGGGCTGGAGAATCCCGAGCGGAGGACGCTGACGTGCCGTTGCTCTGCCCAGGCGATGTTAGACTTGGAATTCTGGGGGTTGAGCTAGATCATCCGCAGCTTTATGTTTGCATCGAGCCATTCATATGACATCTCGTCCGTCTCACCAGGCCTCATCGTGAAAGGTTATACACATATCTTTTGGAAATGATGAGGAAATTCAAGCTCACGTAAAGTAAGCCCTATCAGTGACTGACTCCCATGGAAGACACGACCGGCCGACATTCCCTGGGGCAATGCTACGACAATATGGTTAAGATTTTGTACCTGCTGAAGTTATATCCTTTAGTTGATCTATATACTGGAACGAATATGCCTATCGTTTGTCATGCTAATCACTCGTTCATACCAACTAACTTCAGCGACACTTCCCATAGCTTCTTTTCCTTCTCCGGGCTGTACGCATACGAGGCATAGCCAGGTGCCCAGTGCCCCTCGCTCGGGTCATACACCTTGGCAATCTGCAAATTCTCGAGGTACTTCCCGCCCATTCCCTTGAGGGATCTGGAGACAGCCCCCCAAACAGAAGTGGCAGCACCCTGCTCTGGACTCTTCAACTGTGGCCCCAGGGTTGGATCGTCGGTGAGCCCGCTCTTCTCTTCCTCGGACATGTGCTGCAGCAGTGCGGTCCGAATGCCACCGGGCTGGACACTAAAGGCACGCAGACCCTGGGAGGCGTAGCGGCGGTCGATCTCATTTGCCGCCCACAGCAGCGCGCACTTGCTCTGTCCGTACGCCTTCCACTTGTCGTACTCGCCGTCGAGGGTGAGGTTGTCAAATACCACCTCCGAGTACCGGTGGGCGATGGAGGCGAGGAAGATCACGCGGGAATTAGCCGCTGCCAAAAGCGCGGGCCGCAGGAGGAGGAAAAGCAGGAAATGGCTCAGGTAGTTGGTCCCGAACTGGGTCTCGAACCCGTCCTTGGTGCGCCCTTCCGGGGTTGCCATGACGCCGGCGTTGGCGATGAAGATGTTGAGGGTTTTGGTGTGGGAGAGGAGCTCGGCGGCGCAGGCGCGCACGCTGGCTAGAGATTCGAGGTCCAATTCCAGCAGGTGCACGCGCGGAGAGGAAGCCATGTCGCCGAGAGCGTGCTTTGCCTTGTTCAGATCCCGGGCCGTCAGGTAGAGGGTTGCGCCGGTGGTGAAGAGCGCTTTGGCTGTCTCGACACCGATGCCTGCGGACGCGCCGGTGATCAGGATCGACGAGCCGGTCAGTTGGCCCTCCAGGCCCTCGTCGCGGATGATCTGCATGGCCGTTGGGCGAGCATCCCCTGGGCCCTGGGGGTTCTTGTGAACGTCTGCATAGCGTGCCGTCATGATGCTGCGCGGGTAATTACACTGAGCTTGGAAGAAGGGGGATAGGAAAATGATGCTCTTGCTATTGGCCAGGAATCGTGGACATGCTTGACTGGGAAGAAGGACAAGGGGATTTTATATACAGATTATCATCAGATGGAAAGAACCTTTCGGCTGGAATTTGGAGTGATACCATCATGAATCTTCTTAGCTCCGGCTTCTCTATTGCCCTGCCTATTCAGAGTTCTTTCAACTTCTTAAAGCCGAGCACACTATGATACTGTCTGAACGAGCATCCATGGTACAAACTACAATCATAGTTAATTCCGAGCCCCGGCTGTAATATGGTTGGACGATGGGCTATTTCCATCTCCAAGTGTCAGCATTTAGTGTTTAGAGTGGGACCTTAGCAAAGCCAGTCATTAGCCTCGTTATCTTCATTATTTGCGACAGAGCCAGAGAAACAAATAAGTCAGGGATGAGGCCAATTCCAACTACAAGTGAACCGATTAATCCAGAATCAAAGAGTGGACTACTATCAACCC